AAACAAGTGTTGATGAGTCGAGGGTTACCTGTATGTTGCATTCTTTCCATTTTGGTTTTGGTGAGCCCTTTTTTGAAAAAGCAACAAGGACACTTTTCATCCAAACCTGTACGTCATCTATGATAATGTGGAATAATACGAAAAACCACAAGGGTTTTCCACCCTGAAGTTGAAACACAGGAAGCATTCCTCATGGTTTCGTCGGGGACATGTTGAAAAATGCACTTTGGGGGGAGGTATATCAATTTTTTTTAATTATGTCAGAATATAAAATGCAAAAGAAAATCAAAAGCAATGGAAAGCTAGGGGAAGGAAAAAGGGAAAAGGAGAAAATATGGGGTGGAAAAAGATAAAGAAAAAAAAGGCATTGGTTTCCAACTCTCTTTGGCACGGTAAAAGATAATAATATTACAACTTCAACTTTTTACTTGTATACAATAGAATACACTAGCCATTTCTTTAACAACAAACCTATCTAATCAACAAAAACAAAGTCAAAATTTTGTTTTTCTTTTTCCCCATAACAAAAGCACCAAGTCTGGAATTGATTTCCACATAGAAACAAACTTACATATATTATTTTGTTTGGATAAAGGAATTGATCTGCTTTTCTTTGCTGTGGGAAATAATATATCTTTCTGTTTGCTCACAAATCTTTATAGACTGTCACAACTGATATTAATAAAATTCACTACATTCTTTCGGATTGTTTCTGATCTCTAAAGAGGAAAAAAATAACTTTTTGTAAATTTTAAATGTTAAAACTTTTCTTTAAAAACATTTCTAAAATCAATAAGTTCTATGATCTAAACTGTGACAGGAAAGGAGAAGTTCTCATTTGTTTTTTGGGTTTTGTTTTGTTATTAAAGTCACGTGAAAATGGCTTCTTTAAAGCCCTTTGCAAGCAAGCCAATGCTTGCATTACCTTAGCAACGGCGTCATCTTGGAATAAATTCTATAGATGTTCTTGTTTCTTTATTGAGAACCCGACAATGCCTCAACGCATTTTCCAGAGTGGGAAGCTTGAGTGGCATGGAATAAATCTGAATTTCTGCTAACTTGACAGTTGCAGCCCGAGATGACACATCACGGGTGTGATAACCAGACTCCCGCTCATAAAAAAAAAAAAAAAACCCAGCAGCTGAAGTGTAATTGTGTTTGCATAAAAATTTGCGCAAGGCTGTTTGAAGCAAGCGAAAGTTTTTGCATTTTAAGTCCTGGCGCTGGATCCTAGGAAGGAAGATGCAATGGCTACAGGGAGAGTGGCTGGATTGAAATAATTTCCTCTGAAATTACAGTTGCATATGATCAGAGATAATACTATGTCATTTTAAAGGTTTCCCTTGGTGTTGCTTTCCCCCCCCCTCTTTCTCTCCCCCCCCCAGGCTATAAATTCAAGCCTGAGGAATCATTTGATCAGATTATCACCATTCAGCCCCAGCAGTTAGCACAATTAGTTACAACACATTGAAAATGTGACCTATGACTGTTTGTCACACTTAAAACCGTTGCAGCATCCTCACGGTCACGTGATCCACGCTTGGCAACTGACTCATATTTATGACGGTCGTGGCGTCCCGGGGTCAAGAGATCCTCTTTTTTTGCGACCTTCTGACAAGCAAAGTCGATGGGGAAGCCAGCTTCACTTCACAGCCACGTCACTAACTGAACCACGGCAGTGTTTCGCTTAACAACGGTGGCAAGAAAAGGTCGCCGAATGGGGCAAAACTCACATGGACCACGTCACGCTTAGCAACACGTTTGGGGCTCCGTGGGGGCCTGTCCTGTAAGCAGAATGGGAGCCCAAATGGACTCCAGCCTCACCTTTGGGTTTCAGAGACAGGACTCTCGTTCGAGAGATGCCACGCCGGCACGAAAGAACAGCGCTCCGCACAACAGCTTGTTTCTTTGCACCTGCACCGACTTGTGAATGATTTGTGTAGTGCTAAAAAAAAAAAAAAGTATTTTGAGACACACGAGTTGCGTTTCTAAAAATATTTGCTGGAGTCAGGTCCTTCGGTATGCCTGTCTTGCGAAGGGAAGCTTTTATTGATCCATTGGGGATGGATGTTGCCAGCAGGAGGTGGACCACGGGACACGTGCGCCTCTATTTGGAATTGACTAATGATAGAACAGATAATACAGTGTTTCTCAACCTTGACAATGCTGGCTGTGGAATTCTGGGAGTTGAAGTCCACATGCCTTAAAATTGTCAAGGTTGAGAAACACTGAGATAATACAATTTACTTTTGGTGCCCAACTCCATCAGCTACTTCAGTCCCCCAAGAATCAATCCCTCTAATTAACGGAGCATTTTCACTCTTAATTTTCTGGCTCTTTTCCTCTTGGGGCGTTTGATATTCAAGCAGGTTGCAAATCCTGCAGAATCTTTTCTCCATGTGTGTCAGCAAGGGTAGTCCGTCATCCACACAACCCTTAATTGTCTTGGCCAACTCAAAGAAAGGCCACCCCATCTTGCCTGGGTCCAGAGCCGAGTGAAAGTAATGGAGGTCCAAATTTCTGGTTCTTGTTTGAGGCATCACTTTTGTGATGCTTTTGGCTGCTGCTTTTTTCTGTTCTCATTCTTCCCTGTGGTCTGAGTTGAAAAATCCTCAAAACTGCTTCTTTCATTGGGTTTTTGGATCTACTCCAGGAGATTAGCTCACCTCTCCGTGTTTATAAAATACCTGCAAATCTTTAGAGGCAGCATCTCCTGCTGGGAAAATCTTTCAGGTCCATCGATTTGGTACAGCACTTAGGACCAGGAAGAAAGGAAAGAAGGAAAAGAGGAATGAGGGAAGGAAAGAAGGAAAGAAAGAAAGAAAGAAAGAAAGAAAGAAAGAAAGAAAGAAAGAGAAAAAAAAGAGGGAGGGAGAGAAGGAAGGAAGGAAGGACGGAAGGAAAAAAAGCCTCTGTGATAAAATCTTTTCAGCAAGTGTGTTAACTTGAGAAGCTGCCAGAAGCTAAGCTTCATTTAATCATGGCTTTGTCTTTGGGGAGATGCCTGTACAAATGTCATTCAGAGTGTGGCAGATATTTTTCTAAATTATTGTTCTGTGGAGAAGCAATCAGCCCATTACTGAGGTAATAGAAAAGGGGATTAATCCTGCAGAAACAGATAATAATTTTCAGAGCAGGTTCTTGCTCAACAAGGTGCTTCTGTATTTACTTACTTATTTACAGGATTTGTATGTCACCCAGTTATGACTTCTGGGTGGCTCACAATAATAATAATAATAATGATAATAATAATAATATCAGCCCAGAAACACGAAACATAAAAACTAGCAAAACAGAATGGATACTATCATATTGGCATAAAAAGTATACATCAACACAGAATCGATATAAAAGTAAGCAGTTCCTGAGCACAATAGATAGCAGCAGATTGTCCAGCCACCTGGACTCTAAAATCTAGCTCGAATGATGCCAGGAAAGGAATTGTCTGCTATTTTTCATTTTTATATTAATTTTTGAACAAGGTTGTGGTTGAGTTGCCAACAATTGATGGGAGATGTTATTTCTGGTGCTTTCTCTTTAGGGAAAAACTCTTAATATATTTGACTCTTATCTTCTGCCTAGATGCTTTGGGCAATGGATTTGTCCCTTGTGATGGTATGAGAGAGGCTGGTCCAGAGCTGGTTAGTCAGGAAGTCTAGGTGAAACCCAGTGGATCATCCTGAGAAGATCTCTAGGGATGAATTGCCCACCGTTGAGTAGAAGGTGTAAATTCTTAGAGAGTTTATACTGCATTGTAAAAAAAAAAAAAAGTTGTCTATTCATTGGTCTCTCCCTCTCTTTTTTCTCTCTTCTCTCTTTTTCTCTCTCTTCTTCCTCTCTTTCTTTCTCTCTCTCTCATTCTAGTTCTTAGAGTAATGATTATTTGCATGGGAAAATAATCCAGTCTCTCTCTCTTTTCCTCTGTACAGAAAAAGTCACCCAATAATAACCCAGCCTAAACATTTTATAGATTAAGAGACTATCTGTTCTTGCCCCGGGGCTAACCATTTTCAGAGATGTATCACTTTTGTCGAAGTCTTAGAACCGAGGAGTTAATAATCTGAATTTTGCTGTCAAGTTTGATTTTGCTGCTTGCTTTGTAGGTCTACAACATACACACTCACCCACCATCTAAGGAATATATATAAATAGGGACTGGGGTACCTATAGGTAGTAGGGTTTTAAAAAAGGAAAGTCAGAAGTGTGCAGTAGAAAGAGGGCCCCTTTTATACAGATGCTACAGATGTGATCCCTGTAAAAAAAGTCAAAATTTTGATTACACGTTTGACTTCTTTGACAGATTTTAACAGAATAACAGAGTTGGAAGGGACCTTGGAGGTCTTCTAGTCCAACCCCCTACTCAAGCAGGAAAGCCTATAGCATCTCAGACAAATGGCTGTCCAGTCTCTTCTTAAAAACCTCCAATATTGGAGCATCCATAACTTCTGGAGGCAAGCAGTTCCACTGATTAATTGTTCTCACTGTCAAGAAATTCCTCCTTAGTTCTAAGTTGCTTCTCTCCTTGATGAGTTTCCATCTGTTGCTTCTTGTTCTGCCTTCAGGTGCTCTAGGAAATAGGTTGACCCCCCCCCTCTTCTTTGTGGCAGCCCCTCAAATATTGGAGCACTGCTATCATGTCCCCCCTCGTCCTTCTCTTCATTAAATTAGACATACCCAATTGCAGCAACCGTTCTTCGTATATTTTAGCCTCCAGCCCCCTGATCATCTTGTTGCTCTTCTCGTCTTGACCCTCTCCCCTTCCCATGGATGACCCTGAATAGGAATACACATGTAGCCTAAAGTAATCTTCTCTTGAACATTAAGGGGAAGAGTTTGAGCATTGTTAACTGTTTTAATGAGATTATAGGTAGATACAGATTTCCAACATTATCAGCAAGGTCTTCCCTAGTCATTCATTGTTCAGAATTGCTATCTGTCATTGTCCAACTTGCATTGTGTAAGCTCCTATTGCTTAACTCGATTTGTTGTTAACTCTTCAGGCCTTGTTGCTGTTGGGAGCAGTCTCTTTGATGTGCCTCGCTCTGGATCTCCTGTTCCTCCTCTTTTACTCCTTCTGGCTGTGTTGTCACCATCGGAAGAATGAAGAACAACTGAATGCAGATTGTTGCTGTACGGCGTGGTGTGTCATCATTGCAACTCTAGTGTGCAGGTAAGTCTGACCCCATCTGAAGAACGATGGGCTGGAGACTTAACCAAGATGCAGTTGGGTTTCCTACAAGGAGCAGGACCCAGACCAAGCCAAGTAACGCATCTGTTTGGATCTGAGGAATTCCAGAATGGCGGCTTGCTTCATTTATGTAACAAACTCTAGGATTTCTCAAATTAATTCAGGATAGAGCTGGAAGGGACCTTGGAGGTCTTCTAGTCCAACCCCTTACTCAAGGAGACCATATACCATTCCAGACAAGTGGCTGTCCAGTCTCTTCTTAAAAACCGCCAATGATGGAGCATCAATAACCTCTGAAGGCAAGCAGTTTCACTGGTTAATTGTCTTCGCTGCCAGGAAGTTTCTCGTTAGTTCTAGGTTGCTTCTCTCCTTGATTAGTTTCCATCCGTTGCTTCTTGTCCTGCCTTCTGGTGCTTTGGAGAATAAGTTGAACCCCCTCTTCTTTGTGGCAGCCCCTCAAATACTGGAATACTGCAATCATGTTCTATCAAATTCTCCCTCTGATATTTGTAGTTCTGCCAAGGAGGTCTTAATTATCTCCACTGATTATCATTGGATAGATTTACAAAGCGTTGTGCAACGCTTCAAATTCAGTTCCAAAACTGGACTTCAAAACTGTGCAGGAGCATTAACGTGGCCGCTTCCTGCAGTGCTTTGAATGCAGCTGTGTCTTTTTCCAACTTCACAAGGCTTCCCTCCCCATTTGAACCTAAAGCCTCACACATCAAGGCTGTTCTGTGCTCAGTTGGCGCTTTCAAAGGCCAGACAAGTTTCATGAGGACGCCTTGTTGCTCTCTGGGCTTGGCTATTTTCTTGGAGACATTTCATTCCCAACGAAACATCTGCAAAAAAAAAAAAAAAAAACCTAGTTACTCTCCTAACTGGCACTGATGATGTTACCTGGTTGGGTAATGAAACATCTGCAAGAAAACAACCAAGCTCGGAGAGCGCTAGAACCCCCTTCATTTCAGCCCAGAGCTGCAAATATTCTCCATTATTGCTACAAGTTTCCATCAACTTCCTTAACTGCCCTGCTGAGGAGGGAATTGTTCAGGAGAAGAAGGAAACCACTTGCCATTTGTGATGTGTTCAGCATGTCCTTGACAGATTTTGCAACCTGCACACTCTTTTTCAGCTCTCCGGAAACAGGAGGGGAAGGTGGAACTTTAAGAGGGCAGGAAGTAGACGCCACGAGATGGGGACGTGGGGTTGATTCAAATTGTAGACTTCTCTCTGTGTCGTTGGGGCGCCAGCATATTGGATGGGAAAGGAGAGGTTTTACATCTCGCCTCCAAATAGCACCTTCTCCTAGCGTTGGAGAATAAGGCAGTAATTAAATGTGAGAATTAGCTCAGTCCTCAAGAGTAACTTTAAGGTGTGGGCTGCGCTCGGAGGACTCAACGTGTGAAACGCCTCTTAATTAAAGACACATTATTATTATTATTGTTATTATTATTGAGCATCACTGAGGAAAGAAGGGGCTTCCCTAATCCTCAATACTCTGCCTGGCCATTCCTCTCCACAACCCCCCCCCCTTTCTTTGTTACCCCAGCCCCCCCTTTGCTACTTGGAGACTCAGTATAGTCCAGAACTGTCTCTGAGGCGGATATTTATAGCTTGTGGGTATATAAGGAATTAATCATCAGGACCATATTTTTGTCGCAGCTCTTCCAAGTCAGATAGCGGGAAGCAGAAGGAGAGGATGTGGTTTTTAACTCTTCCAGGCCTGGAGAAGAGAATATGTAATGCTCTGTTGCCAGGCGTTTCCTCCTCTTTCTTCATGGGGGGTGTGCCAAGGATGGGCAATAAAGATGGCCCTTGACTTAACAACAACACAGTCATTAAGCCTATCACACAGTCGTAAGTCTGAAGCCAGCTGATTCAGTGGGCATCTGTCGGAGTAGATGGAGATTATCTCCTTGTGGTCTTCTGTCTCTCTGCAGTGCTGGCATAGCAGTGGGCTTCTACGGGAACGGGGAGACCAGTGATGGCATCCACCGGGTGACATATTCCCTACGACATGCCAACCGCACAGTGGCCAGTGTCCAAGACCGGGTGAGTGTTGTCCCCAAGGATGGGGGACAGGTCCAGAAGTGATCAACTGTGGTCCTCAAAGTCTCATTGACTTGTGGGTTCTCTCCTTGATTAGTTTCCATCCATTGCACAATTCCATCCATTGAACAAGCTGAGGAAACACATTGAATATTGCTGCCTTAAGGCGCCCTCTCTTGAAGCCAGCTTCAACTTACTTGTTGTCCTTCAAAGAATGCTAACTGAACACCGATCTATCTGCATCTCCAGGTTTATGACACCGCCATTGCGCTAAACAAAACCGCAGAGCCCAATTTAGGAGACCTGGAGATAATATTCAGTAAGCAGACGCAGTATCTGCACGTGGTTCAAAAGCTCCAGGGACTTTTGGATGACCTGGTAAGACAAACCACAGAGATTCCTTTCTGGAAGAACCACCAGGTTTCATTAGAAGACTTGGCCATTCGTATTGACCTGTACGACTGGTACAGGTGAGTAGGATGTAACCCTGCTTTCATTTCATCTCAATCTGGGGGGAGGGGTTGTCCACGAAGATGGTGGACAAAGGAGGATGTCATTGCACTGAGGGAGTCAACTTTGGTCTAGCTATAGTTTGATGAGGATGCCATTGAATGTATGACCTATGTGGACATATGACCTCTGAGGGAATGTGTGACCCATAAAAAGTGTGGCTTCTTATGTAACCTACAGGCCAAGGTGATTTGTTTTCTTTTCCCTACGGATGGAAATGTTTGGGAACATTAGTCAGAAATAATAATTAAGATCTGAATTGCCTTGAAAATGATGCTAAAAAGATGGTTCAGAAACAATCAAGTCTTTGCACCGTTGACTTCTCAGAACCCAAAGATACTTATACAGACTCCTGGAATCAACGGTCCTATGACTTCTCCAATCCTTGCCTATGATTTTTATACATACATTTTTATGTCTTAACCACCTATATATTGCTTTCCCCATAGATGGTTGGGCTATCTGGGCCTGCTCATGTTCCATGTTGTGATATGTCTGCTGGTGCTATTTGGACTAATCAGAAACTCAAAGGCCATTCTCATTGGGTGAGTTGGTATCAGGAAAAAGCCCTTGAAGATCGTTAAAATCAGATAGATCATTTGATGTAGGATGCTTCCTAGTGTGCATTGCCGTGGATTTAAACAATGTTGTATTTGAAAGCTTCCTGCTCTGGTTTTGATAGACGGGCCGTAGGCTAAGATAATAGACCTGTTTAATATGGTCAAGTGTATAGACCACATGTTCATAATTCATTGGACACTGATAGATTAAAGCAGGGGTCTCCAAACGTGGCAATTTGGCATGGCTGGCTGGGGAATTCTGGGAATTGAAGTCCACAAGACTTAAAGTTGCCAAGTTTGGGGAGTCCTCATTTGAAGAATACATAGTTGTATTCCAAGAACATCCAGGCTGCGTCAGTTTCTAGCTTTATAAGTCTAGAAGCACAAGTTGAACCTGGTCTCTGTTTAGACATGAGCTTATAATGAATGCAGGGGTGTCAATTGAGCATTTCTGAGTATAAAATGATTAGCGTAAAAACTTACTCCATAGCCCCAAGTGGAAAAACTTGCTAAATGAAATGAGGCAGCAGAACTGCTACAGGGAAGCAAGACGTAGCTTCGACGTGTCTTTTGATAAGGTGTAATCCCTTCTATATTGTCCTCCCTATTCAAAAAATAAAACTAATCCACGGAAATTCTGAGTTTGATTTCCAATATCCGGGGGGGGGGGAATGGGTATGAGGTTTTCTTAATGTAGCCAGCCATGCAAATTGCCATCTTAGTAAAACAGTGGAAATCTCTTTCTACTTGCTTTGGAAAGAGAATTGACTTTGGTTATGCCTTGAGAAGCCGCAAAAAGGATTTGTAAAAGCTCACTTGGCACTTTGGCCTTGACTGCCTTCTCTTTCAGCTGACCCGACTCCAAATGTTTGGTTCAAAAGTGTGGATACTGAATGGGCCTCCTTCAGGTTCTGATCCCTGAAGGAGGGAGTTTCATGGATCCAGAAAACCTGAAGGCCTTGAAAAAACGTTCCTGGGGGGGGGAGGAGCAGAGTGGGAGGTTGGGATTCTCAGAACTTTTGCCAGATAACTGCGATTCTGCTTCCTTGCAAAGAAATCAGCTGCTGATAGGAGTGTTAAGAATGCAGAGATGTATTTGAATGGGCCGTCTTTAAACTGTCAGATGCAGCCACTATCAATGGTTCTTTTTTTCCCCATTCTGTTTGAACTCTGAATTACAATCTTCAGGGCAGATTAAGCCATCGCAACTGGAGCCAATGTGTCTGACCACTGAATCTGCTCCTATTCCTCCCGCAGTGTGTGTCTTCTTGGGGTGCTGGCCCTAACGGTGAGCTGGGCGTCACTGGGACTTGAGCTGGCGGTGGCTGTGGTGAGTATTTTAATTTCACCAGGCCAAAGAACGGCCCTCCTCACTGGCACCCCTTCTCTGCTGGATGCTGAGCCCAAGAATTAGCTCTCGGGAACGCCTTGTCTCCACAGAGCCGTAGAAAAGAGACTTTGATCTGGTTGACTTACCACCATAAGCCACAATTGGTGGCTAAGACTGTTGGGTAAAGCCATTCAAGCATAGTTTTTGATTTCTCCTTTCTAAAATGTGTTCCCACTTTCCCATGTGGGAGAAGGCCCCTGTTTTGCAGGTTGTGTGGCCGAGTGTGGCTTTTGTAAATTCCTTGGGACTTTCTTTGCTGTTTTAGGGTTCCAGTGACTTTTGCATTAACCCCGATGCTTATGTGTCCAGGACGGTGGAAGCCTACAGTGTGCTGAATGCAGGTAAGAGAAGTGGGACTGCATTGGGATTTTAAGAGATCCGGGCAGACGTCGGAGGGATTTGAAAACCAAGGATTACAGAAAGTGTGGGTGGATCTGCAGTACGTTCCTTTGCGTCCTGCGCTTGAAATAGTAGGAAATGGAACAGTGAAAAAAGGAATTATAGGTAGTGATTTACGACCATAACGGAGACGAGGATTTCCATTGCTAACAGTTGTACCTGATTTTACAGTCTTCTTTGGCCACAGTGGTTAGACCTATCACTGTAGTTGTTAAGTAAATCGCTCGGTTGTTAAGTGAATCTGGCTTTCCCCATTGACTTGGCTGGGTGGAAAGGTCATCAAAAGGTGATCACACGACCTCAGGACTCTAGCAGCCATCATAAATGCATGCCGATTGCCAAGCTCCTGACCTTGATTGCATGACCCCAGCAGTTCTAAGTGTGAGGGCCAGTTATAAGTTCCTTTTTTCAATGCCGTTGTAACTTCAAACCATTGCTAAATGAACAGTTGTAAGTTAAGGACTATCGGCATCCAGAAATACCTATTGTTAAACATCCAAACCGCCAAATCAGATAGAGTCTTTTGCACGAAAGCTGAATTTGTTTGTAAATTTGGTGCAAACGTGTAAATTTGGTGCAAACGTATGCACCACGGGCTTCCGCTTCTTGTTGGTCAGGTTCTCTATTTTGGAATTTGGGAAGGAAGGACTGAAACAGCTCTTTCGGTTCCCCTAGCTAGCAAAATGAGCCGTCGGTATCTTATAAGGGTGTTTTGAACTTCAGCCAACCGTGGCTGTACATTTCCTGGGCCTTTTTGAAAGAAATCACGTGGGTTTTGCAGATTTTTGCCAAGCCAACAAAAAAGAAAAAGAGAAGATCCAATTCTAACCATGAGTTTTGCCTAACTTTCAAGCCTGTGATTGTTTTGGTTGTTGTTTCCCCCCCCCCTTTCTTTCTCACAAGCAGAAGGGATGATGCCTTGTTTTAGTTCCTTACGCTTTAGTACAGAGGTATCCAAGCTTGGCAACTTTAAGACCTGTGGACATCAACTCCCAGAATGGCTGGGGAATTCTGGGAATTGAAGTCCACAGGTCTTAAAGCTGCCAAGCCTGAACACCTACATTTTAGGGGGGTTTTTTTAAGCTGCTGATGCCTCTTAAAAGTCAGTCTGAGAAACGTGGGTAGCAAAAAAGCCTCCTCAGATATGGTTGTTCAAATATTTATGCCTTCTCCAAAAGAGAGAGGGGGGGCGAGAAGGAGAAAAATGGGTAGTGGAGGGGGAGGAGGAGAGGGAGAAGAAATGGTAGAGGAGGGGGAAATGGAGGGTGGGAGGGAGAAAGAGAAGAAATGGTGGAGGAGGAGAGGGAGAAGGAATAGAGGAGAGGGAGGAGAAGGAATGGAGGAGGAGAGGAGAAGGAGAGGGAGAAGGAATGGTGGAGAAGAAAAGGGAGGAGAAGGAGAGGAAAAAGAAGGTGACTTCCTTTTCTCATAAACTTCTATTTTTATCGGAGTGGATCTGTCTACATGCAGGAGCCCAGGTTTTTCATAATGAAGCCGCTCTTCCTTAGAACACGCCAGGTCCCTCTAATAAGAAGGAAAAAGCACAGTGGGTGGAAATATAATTCAAAGAGTCCAGCGCCCCACGCTGGACTTGTGCTTTATCATTATCAGATGAAGGCAGATGTGAAAATCCCCAGTGGGAGCGAAAATGGGACTCATTATTTTGGCAGGTTGATCCTGGCTTTTTGCACTTCAAAGGCCAACAGATTTGTAGCCCGTCGGTATGCTTAGGAGGGCACTGACTTTTCGTGCCTGCCTTATCCCCTTTCCCTGGCAAAATACATGGGAAAATCCCATTGGGGGGAAAATCCACTTAGGGTTAGGTCTCCATGAATTCGGAGGGCAAAATAGACCTCGCCAACGGATTCGCAGCCCATGGGTATGGTTAGGAGGGTGCAAATTTTCCTAGCCTGCCTTAACTCCTTTCCCTGGCAAAATACATGGGAAAATCCCATTGGGGGGAAAATCCACTTAGGGTTAGGGTTAGGTCTCCATGAATTCGGAGGGCAAAATAGACCTCGCCAACGGATTCGGAGCCCATGGGTATGGTTAGGAGGGTGCAAATTTTCCTAGCCTGCCTTAACTCCTTTCCCTGGCAAAATACATGGGAAAATCCCATTGGAGGGAAAATCCACTTAGGGTTAGGGTTAGGTCTCCATGAATTCAGAGGGCAAAATAGACCTCGCCAACGGATTCGCAGCCCATGGGTATGGTTAGGAGGGTGCAAATTTTCCTAGCCTGCCTTAACTCCTTTCCTGGCAAAATACATGGGAAAATCCCATTGGGGGGAAAATCCACTTAGGGTTAGGGTTAGGTCTCCATGAATTCGGAGGGCAAAATGGACCTCACCAACGGATTCGGAGCCCATGGGTATGGTTAGGAGGGTGCAAATTTTCCTAGCCTGCCTTAACTCCTTTCCCTGGCAAAATACATGGGAAAATCCCATTGGGGGGAAAATCCACTTAGGGTTAGGGTTAGGTCTCCATGAATTCGGAGGGCAAAATAGACCTCGCCAACGGATTCGCAGCCCATGGGTATGGTTAGGAGGGTGCAAATTTTCCTAGCCTGCCTTAACTCCTTTCCCTGGCAAAATACATGGGAAAATCCCATTGGGGGGAAAATCCACTTAGGGTTAGGGTTAGGTCTCCATGAATTCGGAGGGCAAAATAGACCTCGCCAACGGATTCGCAGCCCATGGGTATGGTTAGGAGGGTGCAAATTTTCCTAGCCTGCCTTAACTCCTTTCCCTGGCAAAATACATGGGAAAATCCCATTGGGGGGAAAATCCACTTAGGGTTAGGGTTAGGTCTCCATGAATTCGGAGGGCAAAATAGACCTCGCCAACGGATTCGCAGCCCATGGGTATGGTTAGGAGGGTGCAAATTTTCCTAGCCTGCCTTAACTCCTTTCCCTGGCAAAATACATGGGAAAATCCCATTGGGGGGAAAATCCACTTAGGGTTAGGGTTAGGTCTCCATGAATTCGGAGGGCAAAATAGACCTCGCCAACGGATTCGCAGCCCATGGGTATGGTTAGGAGGGTGCAAATTTTCCTAGCCTGCCTTAACTCCGTTCCCTGGCAAAATACATGGGAAAATCCCATTGGGGGAAAATCCACTTAGGGACATCGAAACGGATTCGTAGTGCATCTCTATTCATAGGAGGGCGTTGACTTTTCAAGCCCGCCTTATCTACATTTCCTTGTAAAACACATGGAAAACATTTGAAACAGTCTTCTAAGATATCCCATTGCAGGTTGTCCATAACAAAACTCATTTACTTGTTCAAGAGTAGTACAATGTAACCAAGTCACCTACAAGCCTTGACTGATAATTCTCTGTTGATCCTTTTGATAGATACGTTGAACTATTACCTGGTCTGTGGTGCTGGCTACCCCAATCCCTTTCAGCAGGTGAGTATCCTCAAGTTCCACGCTTGGAATATTGCATCCAGTGTTTGTCACCACAATATAAAAAAGATGTTGAGTCTATAGAAAGCGTGCAGAGAAGAGCAACAGAGATGCTTAGGGGACTGGAGGCTAAAACATATGAAGAACGGCTGCAGGAATTTGATTGTGTCTAGTATAATGAAAAGAAGGACTAGGGGTGACATGGTGGCAGTCTTCCAATATTTGAGGGGCTACCCCAAAGAAAGATGGAGTCAACCCATTCTCCAAAGAACCTGAAGGGAGAACAAGAAGCAATGGATGGAAACTAATCAAGGAGAGAACCAATCTGAAACTAAACTAAATTTCCTGACAGTGAGAATAATTAATCTGTGGAAGGATTTCCCACTAGAACAGGGGTGTCCAACCCCCGGTGCATGGACCAGCGGTATGCCAGCAACCGGTCGGCACAAACAAGCAAAGTCCCATCTGTGGAATGCAGGCAGCACACAAAACCACACACTCTGGTCCACGGAAAAACCTTTCCCCACAGAACCGGTCCCTGGTGCCCCAAAGGTTGGGGACCTCTGCTTTAGAAGTTGTGGGTGCTCCATCACTGGAGGTTTTCAAGATGAGACTGGATAACCAATTGTCTGAAATGGTTTAGGGTCTCCTGCTTGAGCAAGGGCTGGACTAGAAGACCTCCAAGGTCCCTTCCAACTCTCATATTCTGTCAATCTGAGATGCTTTTGTTAAGCTGTGCTTTGACATAGCAATAGCACTTAGACTTATATACCGCTTCACAGTTCTTCACGGCCCTCTCTAAGCGGTTTACAGAGTCAGCATGTTGCCCCCAACAGTCTGGGTCCTCATTTTACCGACCTGGGAAGGATGGAAGGCTGAGTCAATCGTGAGCAGGTCAGGATCGAACTCCTGGCAGTGAGTAGAGTCAGCCTGCAATACCGCCTTCTAACCACTGCGCCACCACGGCTCTTCATAACCAGAAGTCTTTGTAGCAGACCACATGTCTGGCGTTCTCCTAAATGCCAGCGTATGTGTGTGTGTGTGTGTGTGTTTTTTTAATCTGATCAAAAGCAGCATCTTGCCAGCTGGGATGAAAGCGATGGGTAACAGAAGGGCTGGCTGTCAAAAGAAATGTCATACTAGTATGACGAGATAAAGGAGACGGGAGGGAGGGCTGCTAATTAAGTTGAAGCTTTTGAGGTGGTCACACAGCTGTCTTCCTTGGCAGGACACCATAAAAAAAAACCCTCTTTTGCTCTTCTCAACCCCCCCCCCCCCCGCCCCCATCTTCCTTTTTTGAATGAAAGACCTAAGAGGCAGGTAAACAGGAAGAATAAAACCATTTCCAATGATTGATTATAACTTTCCTTTAAGGACAGACAGATGGCTTGGTTGCAATCCCTAGAGGTAGGTTAGAGGGACTGATTCGCGCTTTGTTACCAAAGGAGAATTTTGAACCCGTGTTCTCCTTCCTGTACTTTGGGTCTGTTGGTTCTAACTTGCCAAACTCACTGCTTTCTTGAACAGTCAATAGCCCACGGTAGCTGATGTTTCAAGAATTCAGGAGAACGGCCATTAAAATGCACCCAGTGCAGGCAGGCTAGCTGGAACCAGTGGAAGAGAATATAGCTCTGGGTTGAACTGTAGGGTCCTTGGTGCTCTCTGAGCTTGGTGGTTTTCTTGCAGACGTCTCATAAACCAAGTAGGGAACATTATCAGTATTAGAAGAAAGGGGAGGTTGCAGAGAGGAGGAGGAGGAGGACTGTGGGGTCCTTTGTGCTCTCTGAGCTTGGTGGTTTTCTTGCAACATTTCATGACCCAACTAGGGAACATTATCAGTATTAGAAAGGGGAGGATGCAGAGAGGAGGAGGAGGACTGTGGGGTCCTTGGTGTTCTCTGAATTTGGCTGTTTTCTTGCAAACGTTTCATGACCCAACTAGGTAACATCATCGGTGCTAGAAGGGAGTAGGGGCAAACTTCTAGCACTGAAGATGTTACCTAGTTGGGTCATGAAACGTCTGCAAGACATGAGCACCAAGGACCCCACAGACTAGCCGGATTTGACTTGAAAGACTGAAACATTATTTCTGTGTTGAATAGAAGCTGTCAGTTAGCCACAAAGCCCTGGTAGAAATGCAGGATGATGTTCTGGAGCTCCTGAAGTTGGCCGTTAAGGAATATCCTACCTCTAAGGTAAGGCTGGATCCAGTCTTTGAAAGGCTGGTGTTCCATACTTCATTTTCGTTCTGCGATCTCGCTAGGAGAAAAAGCCAGCAGTGAGGCTGAACATCTTCCTGTCCTCTCAATTCACAGGAGCACCTGATTCGAGTTCAAGAAGTGCTGAACTCCACAGAGGTCAACCTGCAGCATCTGACCGCTTTGGTTGACTGTCGGAGTTTTCATTTGGTGAGTCTGTTGGAAGGATGGCGAACGTGAGGAACCTTCCGCCTCAGCCTCAACCGCTTTAAGATGGGTGGACTTCAACTCCCAGAAGCTGGGCTGGCTGGGGAATTCTGGGAATTGAAGTCCACCCACCTTACAGTTTAACTGAGGTTGAGGAACGCTGCGGGAGGCCCCGGGTGGCTGCAGAGCTGTGTTTGAAGGACATCAAGAAAAGCACGTTGACTGGAGAAGGTCAACAGAGACCGTTTGCACTTCCCTTTTCAAAGAAGAAAAATAAAGTTGAGCCATGATAAGACTGGCACGTAGCTCATGCAAGGACGCCAGCTCATTCCTGCTCTTCTGAATGTCATCGTTCCACACAGGAACCGAAACCGCTTCTGTGGTCAGTCTTACCTCCTACGATGAGTCTGGTGGCCTTCCCACCGACCTCAAAAAAGCCCTCCCTTTCAGCCAGCTAGGTTTTCCTTCTTGTCCTTGGCTGTCTGGCCTTGGAGAACATTGTCTGCAGAATCGGAGGAGGAAGCTTCTTGAGAAGCAGGAGCTAGGAGGAGGAGGACTAGGACACCTTCAGACACACGTCTTCGTTCAAGTCTTGAAGGAAATTACGCTCCAGCCCCGGATGCCTTGGGCATGTTCTGTTCTGAGGAGCCCTCTAAGATCTAAGCTCATTATCTAGAGATTGCCCGGGAGGAAAACCAAGAACGGGATCAGGCTGTGGCAGAGATGTGGTTTAACCTCCTCGTTGCCATGCAACGGCTCCTCTCAGCACATCTGGCTTCATCTCTAGTTGTGCAGGAGAACTCAGGAGCCGTTCAGAGAAAGCAGACGTGCCTGTTCGGTATGTGCAGACAGCCGAACATTCGCAGCCACAACCGAACTGAAAAAAATGTGACCGACAGCCGGTCCTCGCATTTACAACCGTTGCTGCAGGGTCAGGGTGGTCCAGAATTCTGGCGCTTGGCAACCGGTGTGTGTTTATGACAATTGCAGCACACACACGCACACGCGCCCTTTGCAACCTTCCCAGAGGGCCCTCCAACCAGCAAAGTCAAATGGGAGAAGGCAGATTTGCTTAAGAAGAATGTGGTTCGTTTAACAACCGCAGCGGTTTGCTTAACCCCACCATGACAGAAAAATATATATGTAAAATTGAACGTGACCCACTTAACGACTGCCTTTCTTAGCGGGGGAAATTCTGATTCCATTTGGGGGGGGGGAGATTGTAAGACGAGAACTACCTGTCTCTCAAGGACGCCTAGAGTGGTTCAGACACCCACATTTTGAAATATAGGCAGCTGTTGAGTTACGACCGCAAGAGAGCCCGTTTTTTTGTTGCTAAGTGAGGCGTTGGTGAAGCGAATTTTGCCTCGTTTCACCACCTTTCCTGCCACCGTTTGTTAAGTGAACCTGACTTCCCCCCGTGACTTGGCTGGTCAGAAGGTCACCACTGACCCTGGAATACCACAACTGTCATAAGTGCATGCCAGTTGCCAAGCCTCTGTATTTTGATCACATGACTAGGGATGATGATGCAGTGGTTGTAAGTGTGAAAAACAGTCCTAGGTTACTTCTTACACTCACTACATGTACTGCTGTAAGTCGAGAACGACCTGTAATGTATTTATTTCCTTTTTTAGGATTATGTCCAAGCTCTGACCGGCTTCTGTTATGATGGTGTAGAAGGACTGATCTACTTGGTCCTCTTTTCCTTCGTCACGGCTCTGATGTTCAGCTCTATAGTGTGTAGTGTCCCACACACTTGGCAGCAGAAGAGGTAGGTGTGCAAAAAAAAAAAAAAATGGGGTGGGGAGAGAGAGAGAGAGAGAACCCCATGTTAGGACCGGCCTGTGAATTTTGTTTTTGTATATTCAGCCCACCTAATGAACCATCCTAGCTTGTATTACATATTTAGGGCACTCTAAATATATATTATATATTTAGGGTACCCCTTCCCTGATCTCTGCAGGCTGCATAAAAGAGATTAAAATAGAAATGGCAAAGTTTAAGGAGGAATGACTCCTAAGAATGACCAGGATGGTTGTGTTGCACCTACAACTTTTTTTTTTTTTTAAAAAAAAACCTTCTTCTGCAGGTAGGGAGAAGTCAGTGTGTGTTTAAAAAGGACAAGGACTACATTTGTACAGCTACAGCTGACACCTTGATGCTTCTGATCCTCCCAGGACGCCCCCACTTTCTGCAGCTGCCAAACATGAAGCCTGCTTGCAGTTGTGGTAGATGTGTCATCCCTGACTCACAATTTGCGTTCTATAGCAACAGTAGACTGCCCCCTTGTGGTGTTGGTTGCAAATAAGCCTGTCTGGAATCCAGATCTAGTATTGTCCTCGAATAACAGAATAACAAAATAACAGAGCAGAATGACAGAGTTGGAAGGGACCTTGGAGGTCTTCCAGTCCAACCCCCTGCTCAGCAGGAGACCCTGTGCCATTTCAGACAAACGGCTGTCCAGGCTCTTCTTTAAAACCTCCAGGGATGGGGCACCCACAACTTCTGGACTCAAGCCGTTCCACTGATGAATTGTTCTCACTGTCAGGAAATTTTTCTCCATTTCTTCTCCACCAGGAGCACCGAAGACGATGGAGAGGAAGAATCAACTGCTCAAGGGAACCGGCAAACTCACGACAACTTGTACAGAGTCCACATGCCGAGTCTCTACAGCTGTGGCAGCAGTTACGGCAGCGAAACCAGCATCCCGGCAGCTGCACATACCGTCAGCAATGCTCCCGTCACGGAGTACATGTGAGTGGAGGGGGGACGCTCTGGGTTTGCAGCTGAGGCTCCCAGCTTGGTTGTCTTGGCTGGAAAGCTGCAGCTAGCTGAGGGTCGACCACAATGCAGTCTGTAGAGCAGCGGACTGAATCATTCCCCACATCTTAGCATCTGTTTTGATCCAGATCAGGGATGCCCAACCTTGGCCCCTTTAAAACCAGTGGACTTCAGTTCCAGTACTGCAGACTGGGCAATTCTGGGAATTGAAGTCCACAGGTCTTCAAGGGGCCACGTTTAGAGACCCCCTGATTTAGAGGGGGAGAGAAAGAGAGGAAAAAGGGAAAAAACAGCACCGCTGCCCAATATTATGACTGCATTTGAGCCAGGATTCGTGAAACTCCCACCTTCTGACCTATATCGAATTCCTAGAAACTGCAGGGAGATGGTCGGTTAAGAAATATGAAATATAAATAAACAAACTGGCACCCAGAACTAATGTAAAATGACTTCATTCATTGAACATCCCTGATTTGAATCATTCTGGGTTGTGGAGATAATCAGAATTGAGGCCACCAATTTGTGGCTGCCACTGTCCACCAACTTCATAAAGTACAAGAAGAACATCGGAGGAGATTAGCTGAGTTTCAAGCGATGCTTCTCAATCTGGGCGTGGTGTGGAATTTGAGAGGTGTGGCATTCAACTCCCAGAAATCCCCAGCCAGTTTGCTTTTCCAAGAGGAGAGAGCACGCCTTTCCCATATGTCACCCTTGAGATCTTGAATCACATCACATTCCCAAGTTCTCAATATCATTCTTTTGCCCCCCAGGACCCAGAACACCAATTTCCAGAATCCCCGTTGTGAGAACACTCCTCTGATTGGCCGTGAATCTCCACCTCCTTCTGTAAGTCTCATCTTCCTTTTCTGAAAGAGTAAAACCACCCTCTGCTCGGGAGACCTTTACAAAGAGCTGCTGGGTCTTTTCATCCTACAAGGGTCTGATTCACAAAGAGAGAAGCCCACCCACCCACTTCTCATCATTAAGTATGGAACCCTGTCTTAATGCAGACGCTCTTACTTTAACTCACCTGCAAAACACACCCAGAAAACAAACATTATTGTGGTGATGGGGCCTCCACGGAGTTGTGGACCGTGAACAGAATTACGTAGCGGTCTCATATCCTGAAAAGAGCCAGTAATGTTTGGCCATGGGGCACATGGAATTATGGCGACACCAAAATCTGCTTTAAAGGAAACCTAGAAATATGTTTCATTCTCTATTTGATTTCATTTTGGGTTTTAATATTCATACTTTCCTTCTTTTGGGGAGGGAGACTCTTGATTTCCAGAAAGAAAAACCACATATTTCATGGAAGACTCTCTTTGGGCAAGACAATATTATTAAAAAAAAAAAAAAAACCCTGATTTTATTTCTGCTTTAATTTCCTGAGTTGCAATCTTATATCTCAATTTGTTCAATACTGTGTGCTGCTGGTCTCCATGCAACAATTCTTCTGCCAGCATGGAATATTTTTCAAAGGGATCTGTTATATTTTATGCCTTCAGTATATTAAAAGAACAAAAACTAATTTTTTTTTTAAGGAAAAAAAATGGCTGGTCTTGTAGAAGAAATTTTAGTCTTGTGAAGAGAAAACAGATGCTTAGACCAGCAGTTCAAGCCATAATTAGAAATATGTGCAGTTGTTCTGAACCACTTGGATTTCAGAAAGATTCAAGCTGTTAGCGTTTTAGAGCAAATTTTTTTGGGGGGAAACGTTTATTCTTCTGACTATACATATGGTGGTGATGGAATCTGTTGCTACAGGTGTTTGGGCACCTTCAGTACAACCTATTAAAGAGTCATCGTTCCTTGTGGGCAGAACGTAGAGGTAGAGGTTTTTTCTACTCTTCTCCATTGGCAAAAAAAACAAAAAACTAATCCTAATTCTCAGAAGATTGGAAAGAAGCAGTTGTGGTCTTCAAGACATCTCTAGCAGTGTTGTGTTCTAGACCTGGAAGGAAAGAGATATGGACTTTCAAAGAAAGAAGGCGCTTCAAGATGATATAATGGGAATGCTACACGGTATGTCTTAGTTCAGGACCTGGGATTAGAGATACGTTTGGTGTCCTACCTCAACATATAAGAAGACAGGCATTGCCACCACGATAGAAGGTGGTAGCCTCAGCAAGTTTGAGTTTTATCTTAGGGTGGTCCATGCTTTGGAGGTTGAGGGGAAGAGGACCCTCCTCCCACTGCTTGTAGAAATGGAAGTGTTCTTCTGTAGCACTCAGAAGTGATGTCTACTTCAGATGTGAAAGAGGTAAACACCATGTAAATGAGACTGGAGTCTTCTTTCTTAGTAGGCTTTGTGGAAAAGTAGCCTGGTCAAGAGAACCAGTGGGTGACCTGGCCAAACCACGTTCCATCAGCTTCTCCAATGAGATCAAAGTTGGCTAAGGCATGCCTAATTGGACCCAAATCCAAGTTGGTGTTTGCTGACACCCAGTCACGAGATCCACCCATAAGTGGGTTCTGAACGAAAGCAGACTAGATTCATTCCTTTTTGGTTCAACCTGTGGAAACCAAGCCAACTTCTCCCCTAGGGCAAGCGTTGTCTTCTTCATCATTTGTCTCTCTCTCTCTCTCTTTTTTTTTGTCCCCCGAGTCATCCCTTCTTTCCTTTTCCTCCCCTTCCTGGCTCCCAGGTCTGTTCTCCAAGGATGGTAGCCTTGACCCCCGTCATTGACATTCCCACCGCAACGGTTCACATGCTTGCACTGTGTTTTTCATGCACGTTGAGGCTGCACTCTCTCTCTTTCTTTTTCTCTCTTTTCCTGCATCATCACAGTTGTATTTGGCTGCCATGGACAGTAGCAGCCATATGAGCTGGCAGCTTAAGCCCTCGGACAGTGCTCGGACCTACTGGTAGCAGCGCCCGCAAAAACGGAACAGGTACTGAAAATAAGGACCTTCTCGCTGAATGCCCACTCACCCACCCGATCCTGCCATCCTGCACTTACTTCCTCAGGTCACCTGCCCAAGACTCCACGTATCCTCTCCCTGCACTTCCCCACCTGTCCATCTCCTAACCAGAGTTGATGCCCTACTGCTCCATCATAGATGGGCCTCTCCCGTCTTTTCATGGCAAAGCCCCCTACAAGCCTTGTAGCCATTAAGAATCAAAGCCCCCTCCCCTCCAAGAGGAACAGGAGTTTTGCAATCCAAAAGAACTCGCCCTCTCTTTGGTTTTCTTGGGAACTTCAGGTTGGAGACCACCAAGGATCTGAAACTGGACTGGTTAGGCATCTCACCCGTTGAAGTCCCACGGGTTGTTCAGCTAGCTTAGCTCACCGAAACATAGCAGATCTGCCTTGCCAAACCCTTATTTGTCTCTCCCCAAATCTCCTTTCCTTTGTGTCACGGTCTCTGCCGTATATAGTGTGTGTGTTGTTGTTTTTTAAAAAAATTAATTTATTTAAGTCATGTCTATAGCTGCCCATCTCGCAACAGAGATTCAGGGCAGAGTATGATGCTGAAAACCAGTTATTGGAAACAATATCCCAGGATAGCCAAGGTAGTGTCATAAAATTGCTAACAGAAGCATCTCCTTACACATTTTAAGCCCAGAGTCCTTAAGATTCAGCCAGCTGGGTTTTGAAACCGCCTCCCTTTATTCTCAAGTAGAATTTCATAGCTTTAAACCAGCTTTTTCTTTCTGCCATGGGTGAACCACCTTCAGAGATGCAGCAACACTGACGTATCGTTGCTTGTCATTTTGAATCCTACTCCTAGGTTAAACTGGGATAGAGTTTAATTTGGTGCACCCTCCTTGAGAGAAATTAGCTAACCTAGTGGCAAAGTTTTGTTCTTATTTATCTTAGAAGCTAGGGGTTGCTGTCCCTGTTTGTAAGGTGCAGCAAATATTTGAATGGGTTGATTGATTGATCCATGAGCCACATCATAGCCTAGTTTTGTTCATGAGGCTGACCAATTCCATATCTCCTAAGTGCCTCTTAGTTCCAGCATCCATAAGATAGAAGTAAACCTTGAGTATGGAAGCTACCAACAGTCTACTTATCCTCCAAGCTCCACCACTGATGACAGGACACAGCTCCCTGGTAGCTGAGAAGACCAGGTGTTGTTCATTGTTCTTAGTCTCCTGCTCATCTCCCACAATATGGCTAATAACATTCTTCTCGATACACACAGATCCTGTGGAATTCCACCAAGAGTTAGACATAGTCCTTCAGAAGTACCCCTCAATCCAGATGAGTTGAGGATCCTACAGCGAGAAACATCTGGTCCTCCAGAACCCTTCCAGAAAACAGTAGTCTTTTACCAGCAAGGGCTAGCTTGCTACCTTCTGCTCAGATCTGATTAAATCAGACTGGTGCAAGATACCTCTGACCTGAAGAACATCTAGGAAACTCTTGAGAAGAAACTTATACTAACTTTTGTGTTCAGGACATAAAATCCCCCAAGAACAGATACACCTACCTTATCTCTGCTGCCATCTGCCTGATTTGTCCATCCTGACTTCTTGCTTCATTGTATGCTTTAAGAACCTCTAGAGTTGGGTTTTTCCACCTTGGCAACCCTGCTCTAGCATGAATTGTCAAAAGAAACAATGCTTTGCTTGGCGTGCATGGGTAAAGCGCATGAGGAGGAACCGTGTAAGCCACTGGGTGCATGCTTGCTTGTGCTCTTCCAAATGCCTCCTCCTTCTCCTGGGATGGTCTCTGCTTCTGCATCGCTTGGTCCACCCAACCTTGGGGCAGGAACTCCAGGGTCCCATGCCTGTTGGTTCACTGCATTCTCGTTTCTCTCTCAATGTTCTGTATTACAAATTGTGTATTTCAGACAACATTTTTTCTTTCTTTTGGGGAAAGGACTTGACAGAGTAAAGTAGGTTCTCAACGTCTCTTGCTAGGGTATGAAGTGTAAGCAGATGTTCTAAACCTTGTTTGTTGGACCCGGGATCAAACTAGAGTGCCAATTTCCCTTGAAAAGCAGTGAAGCCAAGATAGTTATATTTAGCGTTGGGGGGTCTAAACGGCCACCCTAGATTTCAGTGGAAGAGCACACAAGATGTGGCTCCTGAGCATGGTGATGAAGGATACCGTCGTGGCTAAACCGCATAAGACGAAAGGTGAAGAGGTGTCTGTAAAACCCAGAAATTTCACCGGAGTGATGAAACCTACATGAGAACGTTCTGCCCATTTCCCTCAGGCACACAAATTTGTGATACATTTACAGAAGGAGTAGAACTGGATGTTTTTTTGCTGGAAACTGGAACTCAACACCAGAAGCTGGCAAAAAGCATCACAAATGGAGGCCAGGTGACTTAGGACCCTGCACACGTCCATAAAGGTGAGCCAGTAGACAAGCACCCAAAATGTGATTACGTCACCACAGGGTGTGTTTGTGTGCGTGAGGCCATCATAACTCTGAAAATGGGTGATTAAGGAGTTCTGGGGAGCTCCATCCTAACTTGGAACAGGTCCTAAGTGAAGGACTATCTTGTCTACTTAAAATGAAATCACGTTTTAAGGCATTTTGTTCTGTTCTCTGTGGAACTGAAGTCTGTAAAGTGATATTTTTCTGCCCAGGGTTTCTTGGAGTGGAAGGTTAGCGGTTCTGCCCACAAAGCCCTCCATCGCTGCTCTTTTAACACATCTGCAATGCCATGTTTTCTTGGGTTTGTGATCTCCGGTTGAGTGTTGGCTCAGTAATCAAAGTTCTCCAAAGGTCCATCAGATCATCACTGTATCTGAAGTAAGGAGAAATATCCCGACAGGGAGAACAATTAACCAGTGGAAAAGCTTGCCTCCAGAAGTTGTGAGTGCTCCAACACTGCAGGTTTGCAAGGAGAGACCGAACAACCATTTGGGATGGTCTAGTCTAATGTTGGGGTTGGACTAGAAGACCTCCAAGGTCCCTTCCGGCTCTGTTCGTCTAAAGTAGTTCTTGCCACAGGTGTGAGTTGATAATCCTCTTGTTTCTCTCTTTGGTTTCTGTCATTCCTCTAGTACACCTCCAGCATGAGAGCCAAATATCTCGCCACCAATCAGCCTCGGCTGGATTCTGGCAGCGTGCACTGAAAACGCCTGGAAGTGGAAAATGGAACGAAACGGGCCAACCTCGCGAGTCTCTGTGGTCTTCGCAGATCTATCCTGCTTTTCTCCCCCAGTCCAGGGTCCAGCTCAGTTGCATTTCCTGCTGCTTCTTCTTCCCCAGCTTGGCCCGTGTCCACGTGAAGACACCTCCGTAGAAGCTCATTGCAGTTCCAGGCTCCGTCCCCTCGCAGTTCTCACTCTTCAGAGAGGGGGACATCTCCACGTGCTCATGCCCACTTGCCGAAGCCTCCCTGTGTTCCTTCGCTGTGTGGGGAATCCACTTTTGATGCCAAGTTGACCATCTTCTCCCTAAGGCTTCTCTCTAACCCATCGAAAACGATTGGATGAACCAGATGACTTAAAACTGGATCGTGGTGTGGAAGTGCTCTTGACAGGGCACGCCGAAACTAAAGCCATCTTTAATGTCCACTACGCCATGAAACTCAGATAACTCCCGGCTTTGCCTGCAGATCTCTTCTCGGTTCTCCTGCCAGCACTGGTGGATCTCCAGCCTGGGATCTTGGCAAGTCCTTGGTTCCTTGCCTATTACAACACAGTCTACTAATTTAACCCTTTGCAGTTCTTGGATACCTGTAGAGCAAGTTTACTCCTCTCTTTTACTGCCTGGATTTAAAGTCCTGGAGAGAAGGAGGAGAAGGCTTTCTGGATATCATACATCCGTGTGGTTGATTGTATGTGCTTGTTTGCATACACATACAAACACATCCTTATAGGAACACACTGTGCTCTATCTGCCTTTTTCCCATGTGTCTGTACTTCCTACCAGCTCTCACCAAACATCTTTTGAGCTGATGTGAAGTCATCACACTGGACTACCACTCTTTTGGTGCCAAAATATTCCAGGAAAATATTGAAGGAGCATTGTAGGTCGAAGGGAAGCGCTGTGAAAGATCAAATTTTGGGAGAAGGATTCGACAGGCAAAGGGAATACCAGCAAAACTCAGCTTCTTCCCAAGATGTCCTACTAGGTTAGACTTCTCCTTGCTTTTTGTTTGGGCTTCTTTGGGGGGTTAGGACAGACGAATTCCTGGAAGTGTTGATGTGAGATGGAGAAGGGAGACTTGTCACTGGTCCTGTATCCTTAAATCAGGAAGCAAAGATAAAATATTGTTATGGGAAGACAATTTGGGGATTCAGGAGTGGAAGGGTGTCCAGCTAGCCTCTCACTTTTAATTTGAAGATCATCTATGGACCAGTTGCTTCTTAACTTGTTGACAGTAAAGCTCAGCAACAAATTGGGAAGAAGAACAATTGCTGTAGGGCCCCTACCGGTGTTCCTACTATGTGAGATGATTAAGCTATTGAATAGTTGCACTCTATTCTTATTTATCTCTTGGGTCTTCTCATTTTAAAGCACAAAGACTTCCTTTTCAGGTTTTGCACATTTGAGAGGAAGTTTTGCTTGCTTTCACCTTTAGAGATGGCCACACGTACCTCCACCTACTTGCTTGCTTGCTTGCTTTGAAAACCTAGATTATTAGCAGGCTTTGAAATCCTTAGATGCAGCTTGCAAGCAGATTGAGAAGATACAAAACCACTGTTACTATTTCTTGAGCATCAGGGTCACGTAAGCCATTGTTTGTGAGTATGTGCAGGTAGCCTACTCGGCTTTGCAATCTATCTCTAGATCCCAGGAATGCAGCTCAGCACCCAGATGTGTTAGGAGAGGAACTGGACATGCTTCCAACCACAAAGGTATTTGTACAAATGTGACACCCCAGAAATACATTCCTTTGTAGTCTACCTTTTGAAGTGTGCCCTTAAAAGAAAATTTGAGTTGTCTGAATCATCACAGAACTTCAGAAGAACATTCTTGGTAGTTTAGTTTGCAGAGAGCAGGAAGACAATCCTTCCTCCCCAATCTTCTCCAGATGGAAGAAAACTTGAGTATGACCATCTTAAGGCAGGGACCAGCAACATAGGTTGTAATAACCACTACAGAAAGTGACTTTCTCCTGAGAAGGAGCCATCGCTTTGATGGTGAAGAAGCTTCAGCTTGGTGTGCCCAACACTCACTGAAGCATTTTCCAACAGGCAGAAGACAACCTCAGAGAGAAGACCAAGCTATCAGGTCGGAGTTTGATGCAGGCTGAGTTTTCTCCAGGGACTTTGAACTCAGCCAGACTTTTCAGCTAACCAAGATCACAGAATCATCTCAACATACGGTGTGCTTCTATTGACGGGGCCAAGAGTCCACTAGATGTGTGTCTATACACACAGACACATGTAAATATGGATTGCTGGGGACGCCAACAATTGCTGGATCTTGTGGTGGAGCATGCCTGAATGGCTCTCTTTCAGAAAATGTGAGTGTGCATGGTCACTTGTATGCCTTTAAAGAGAAGCAGGGAGCACCTTCCCCATCTTCTCCTTCGTGCCAAGCATCCGTGGCAAAACCATTTCGACTGCTAAGGGCTGTTCACCGCTGGCTGGCTGTCCTCTCCTTCCGAGCCAAGTTCCCTCCCTCCCTCAATTATTGGCTGGCAGAGTGTTGACTGTTGGCTGGCTTGGTGTCTTCATCAGGGCTTCTGCACCAGCTTCTGTGGTATAGTAGGCGAACCCCACAAAATATTTTATTTTCCTGTTCTCTTAGCTTTCTCTCTTCAGTTTTTTTTTTTTTTTTTTTTGCAAGTCCAAGAACTCCCAGGACGTCGTCCTTGATTTTTCCGGCCACTCGGTCAGGAGGGTGGGAAACCATCCCTATGGACCTTTTGGCCTAAGTTCTGAAATTCAAGTGACATTGAGTAGGGGACAAATAAGTTGGAGTGGAAAAATGGAGCCCTAAAACTCTTCCTTTCTTTCCTTCCTTCCTTCCCGAGGGATGGTAGCCATTGGCAAGGGAATTGCTTTTCCCGCGACAACATCACAGCCCTTCCCTGAAAGCAATCCTAAAAGAAAACGTGGACTGTCTCAAGCTGATGAAGCGTCTGTCCACAATGTGAAATGTACATAGCATGGGGATGGACTTCTCCCATCCAGTGTTGAAGACTGCATTGTAATTGTTTGAAAAAAAACAAAAAAACACCGAGTCAAGACTTTTGGCTGTGAATTTATTTTTCTGTGTGCTGTCCAAAAGTGTTCGTGTTTTTGTATCCTGTCTGTAATATTAGCTCACTTCATTTTGAATTTTCTTTGGCTTCGTAAGATGAGAAAAGGTTTAAGGTTAAAAAGAAAAAAAAGTTGATATTCATCCATGTAGCTAAACTTGAAGGTTAGGGTCTTCTCAACTAGCCTCAATTTTTTTTTAAAATCTGGTGGGTATGTGTGAATTAAATACCTCAGGTACAGCCAGCTTAACTGGAATGGAAGGGATAGGAATGAGTAGCTTGAACCTGGCCTAAACGAACAATTTTACCAAGGACAAAATTTCTGGAGCATCACAGAAACTTTAGCGTGGGTACGTTAAATTCAGTTGTTGCTCCGACCCAGCACACTTACCACGTAGACCTGTTGTACTTGTCCATCTGTGGCCCATCAAAGACTCAAGATCTATGTTTTCCCCAAAGCATGCTGGTGCTTCGTAAGGTCTACTGGCCAGTTGAGTAGTTGGGAATATCTGTTGGTGTTTCTCGTAGGGTGCTTAGTGCATTTGAGAAGGCCAAGGCATCCTTGTGATCTGTGTGTTACCATCTTGAACAGCGAGGAAGGGCAGAAGGTGTGGGGGGTTGTGATCCTTGTAGCAAGCCAGGTCAAGAGAAGGTTGACTGGTGGGTCTGGTCCATCGTTCATAGACGGAGGCCACTAGAGCAGAAGAAACGTTGCTTTGGGGGTTCATCTGCTTTAAGACTCGCTTAACCATTTTCTTCAAAAGACTGAGACTTAGGATTTAGTGCATCGGGTCGTGTCAAAAGCTTCTTGCGGTGAAGGTTCTGGACATTGTTCAACTGCATCTGTGCCAAAAATAAGTCTTTTAAAAGCCATAGAGGTGAAACGAGGCTGGAGTTGTGCAGCCTTTGGTCTTTACCCCACCCTTTCTGAGCTGTGGTATAAGGGGAGGTGCTCCATTGGCTACCTCCCCCATCAATCTGGCATCTTCCTCCAGAAGTATGAAGCTTGAAGTATCAAGTGAATAGATCGAGTTCGGGTGTCTCTGATGAGGGCCAACAGAGAAAGGTAGATGGCAGCTTCCTGCAGCTTGCAAGCTGTTGTCTTCAAGAGACCTAGAAGGGTCTGGCCTGGACCACATTGGGTTAAAAAAGCCTTTTCTTCAGAAGAAAAAAAAAATGACCCTTCAGCTTTCTGTTTCTATTCTTTATCCTGTAATTGATGGCCAAGTAGATAGACCCATCTAGGTCTCTTCTCATTTTTGAGGCATGTTTCTCAAAAGAGGGGGGCTTCAAACCATGCATGATCACCCAAGTTCTTTAAGAGTGAATCTCTCAGATCTGAAGGAGTAGATCTCTGGATCCTAGGTGTGGGCATGTCATTGTGATCCATAGCTAGCTTTGAGATCCTTGGAGCATCACTCCTCCATGTAACAAGGCAGGTTCTTGGCCTGGTCCTCTGGTGCAAATGGAGCAGAAAACTCGACCACCAGCCATTGGTAAGAGTCCCGAGTTAAGAGGACCAGTGCTTTGGTTCAATCCAAGGCAGATGCTCCTGCTTGTAGCGAATGAGTTTTTGCTGAGAGAGGTGACGCCTTCTGCCACCAGGAGAGGCGTTGAGAAAGTGATGGGACCTCTCTCCACAATCGGCTAAGGTCTAGTGTGGAAGACCACCCCATTCTTGTTAGTTAGTCCTCTGATTTCCCATGTGAACCATCTCCCAACCTCAAGGGAGTTTCTGAGAGAGAAAATGGTGCACTAGGCCCAAACGGCACAGCTACACAACAACACCCTCAGAAACCAAACTTACAGCCCGTTTGATCAGGGCTGAAGCGTGGACCGCAGTAAGCAGTGCTGGACATTTTCTTACCTTTTAACAACGCAACAACAACCAGCAGCAGCAGCTGCTGCTTGGACTAGCCTCAGGCTAGTTCTCGGTGCTTTTGTGTCTTCAACAACCACACTTTTCTCTCTATGCAAGGAGGGCGTTCCTCCTGTTTGCACTCCTTCCTCTCCAGCACCCGGATCCATCTCTCAAGTTGGGTTCGGATCCATCTCTCAAGTTGGGTTGGACACCCGTCCCCCTGAACCAACTCAGCTTTTCAGGGAGCTTGGGTGGGGATTCTGGGAACTGTAATCCCTCAGAGCTGCTGGTCCCCAACATGGCGAAGCTTTGCTTTCCTTCCCCATGGAATATTTCCTTCCTTCCCGGGAACAGGCCTGTTTTATTCTCTTCCCCCACTTCAGTAAATTTTGCTTTGAACTCTCTGTTAGGGTGGCCAGTATTGGGGCTTGCAAACAGGTCCACTAAAACCCCAGTTACAAAGAATCCTGGTTTATTACCCATCCCACCCTGGTTTATTACCCATCCCACCCGCATCCTAAGTTGGCAGGCGATGCCCTCTACGATGCAGGGCCAAACTTCACCTTTTGATTTCCGCCTGTCTGGGACTACGAAAGGCACAAGAGCCGAGTGAGTTTGGTGCTGTGGTCCATTGGCAACCCGCGATTCTGTTTTCCTCTCCTCCGTTCATTAAGAGACATAAACCTGGGAATTGTTTGTGACTTTAATTCTGTCGATCTCCAATTTTATTTTATTTGTTTTATTTTTGTTTTATTTTTTGAGAGGTGCGGCAAATTCTACCAAGTCAAACTCTGGCTGGCATTTTCAAATCGGGTTTTGCTTCAAACCACAATGGTTAATAATACAGCCTTCTACTTTTGTGTATACATATATAATATATGTATATTAAATATATATAAATATAATTTTTTAAAGCCTTTAGACATGACTTAGCTTCTTTCAAAGTTCTCCACCGGACCCCAAAATGTTTTTGAAATTTCGCGGGGGTTTAAACGATGGGGGGAGAGTGGCTGTCAGCCTGACCACGATTATTTTTTTTAAACTTTTCTTTTGACTTTTGGTTGATTTTATGACATTGTACTGTAGCTGTTTTGTTTTTGTTTTTTTTACCGGTTTGTGTCCTTTCTGTTCTGCAGATATTACAAGAGAAACAATTCTAAGTGTAATTCCTGTGGTTTATATTCAGCTTGGGTTTCATGTTTTAAAATAAACAACTTTGAAAAGGCGATGCGCTGGCTAATGAATGGTTTATACATGCCTCTATTTCTATCTGTCTATCTATCTATCTATCTATCTATCTATCTATCTATCTATCTATCTATCTATCTATATTATTTTTAAACCAACAAAACAAAACAGCATAACACACATACATACACAGTATATACTCCTCCCATTTTTTAAACAGCGATTACGTAACGGTAATCTTCTATTATTTACATTTCTCCCATTTATTCTTCTTTAGAATATTTGTCCTTATTGCCCCATTGTTTCTTATTTACATTTTTCTTCCTTCATACTCTACTTCTTAATAAGAATAATTCATATTATTATTATTATAATACACATATTTTCACTTTTGACCTTTCCATATTTATTCTCTATTATTTCTAGTCTCCCACCAGTCATACCACTTGTTCCATGTTAGATAGTACTCTGTGTCTTCCTTTTCTTTTATCTCTTTTGTTAATTTGTCCATCTCAGCACAGTCCAGGATTTTTCTTATCACTTCTTCCTCTGATGGTATATTCTCATTTTTCCAGCACTGTGCATATGCTATTCTTGCCCCCGTTATTATATGTAAAATTAAGTACCATATTTCTTTACTATATTTTCTGTTTAAAATACCCAGCAAAAAGATCTCTGGTTTCCAGTCTACGGGTTGGTCTATTATTTCTTCAATCCATCTTCTTATTGTAGTTCAATATTTTTTCGCAACTGGGCATGTCCACCATAAATGATAATATGTTCCATGTACTTTTTTACATTTCCAGCCTCTATTTCATTACTCACTTTGAATGGCTTTATCTTCTTTTTCAATGGGCCTGGTGGGTTGTACCCATTCTGTCCACAGGGTGGCAGCATCTGCCTGTGTTCTCCATGGACAAGCACCATCTCCCATAAAAATTCAGATAGAATTAGCATATAATAAGTCCTCGATTTACGGCAAAACAAAGGTCTGGCTTAGCGTCAGAAATGTTGGGCTCAATTGTGGTCGTAAGTTGAGAACTACCTGTAAATTTCTCAATCAGACTCATGGAATCACAGGGCTGGAAGGGACCTTGGGAGATCTAGTCCAACCCACTCCTCTTCCTGGATCCGAAGGCTCTAGGCACAAGCGAGATTAATTCTTATGAGTTAGAACAGCATAACAGAGTTGGGAGGGACCTTCAGGTTTTTCTCAAATTTGGAAACTTTGAAGACGTGTGAAACTTTGAAGACGTGTTGACTTCAATTCCCAGAATCCCCAAGGAAGCAGAGAAAGCAATAAGTGGTCCAAAAAAAGAAGAGCTGCAAATAATTAATTAGCCAACAAATTCTTTTATTGAAAGCACAGAGAAGACATCAGCCACAGGCACTCTGTGGTGGTGATCAGGTTTAATTCCCTGAGAATATTAATCATTGTTTCCCTCCCACACATGCTGCATTATTCCTCTTTAATATTTATATATTTATAGCGAGAATCACATTATATATGTACAGTACTTTACAGAAAGCAACATCCCAGATACTGGGATTTATAAATTACAGACAAGTGTCAAACAACATAAAACTTTTTCCGTATTTTCGTTCTTTCAACAGACCAGGAAAAAAACAACAGTTTTTCCTCTTTTTTTTTTTTTTGCTGATCCACCACTTTTAAACGCACTTTTGTCAAAATCAGACTCAACATTAAAAAAAAAAGCACAGTAAATAACACTGTTGCAATAAAATATTTACAAACACTACCCAGTATGGGCCTCTCTTTTTGTTTTTGTTTTCTTTTTGTTTGCAAGGGAAGCTTTCGGCTCTCCATCTCTGCCTTTGGGACCTAGGAAGAAAAGGCTATGTGGCATTTTGCAGGAGAGTTAAATGCAACTCTTGAGGTGCAAATGCTGCAGCCAAATCACCTTGGTCCATTGACAGAGGCGTTACAACGAAGGGAGACGGTGAATCAACACCACGTCCAACTTACAAGAGAAATATAGGATCCCTCATTGCTTCCAACATTTTATAGTCCTTTTAAATTAATAACACAAGTCATTCTCTACCAATCACAGTCTGGATGTTGCTACGATAACATCTCAATTTTACAGACCCTGATTCAACAGACTTTGGATTTTACAGACAATATCTGAATTTGGGCGACTTCAGCCAACAACAGCTTGGTCTGCTCTTTCGTAAATCAGACCACGCGCCCACATATTTTTTTGTAAAGTACATGGGTATATAACATAAATATTATGAACAGGTAACATTCACGGGCGTTACATAACGTTGGGTTTAATGAACATTTGGCTTTAACGGACACTGGTTCCTCCCAATTGGTCCATAAAATTAAAGACTTACTTACAGTAAGTAAAATTAAATATTACTTAAATTACTTACTTAAATATTAATTCAGTTGGGGCCCTATGTCGTGGGCCACCTATTTTGTGCTTTCCTGGGAACAGATCCCATTCAACACGGTAGGATCTCCTCCTGCGTAAATTCCACAGAGGATTGCTCATTTTATATATATATTTAGTAGAATCAAAATAATTTCATCTTCCAAAGGATCTAAAATTCTGAATCTACACAGGCATTTGTGCAGCAAGACAGAACTATGAATACAGCCAAGTAAGCGTTTGCAAATAATAATAATAAATTAAGATTGGAATTGAGGATTTCTGGAGCTGTAGCGTTCCAATCTGCTATCAACCTTTTGCTTATACATTTGGTATTGAATATTTATTTAATTCTGCCTGGCTGCGTTCCATAGTTCTGGATTTAGGTGCAGTTTGCAATCCTTTGCCTATTTACTTGTAAGAAGCCCACCAAGCTTCAGTAAAGTCATTGAGGCCAGGGTGAAAAGGATTAGATAATAGTTCCTTGACAAAAAACTCTCTTTTATCGTTTGAGTCTCCCTTCAGTGCAACTGAAAACAGCGAATGTTCAAGAGACCAGCTCTTAATGAATTTAGGGAAAAAAATAAAAGGCACCTCTCAGAGGGAAGTCTACACATAGTACGGGGGAAAGGAACAACCCCAAAACATCCCCCAACAAAAATGTACAAAAACACATACAGAGCAAATCAACAAAAGTCTGTTTCCTATGTAAACCTTCATCTGAAAAATTACGCAGAGCCTGAAGAAGCAGGAAGGAACAAGCAGGATGGGAAAAAAGGTGGGCAAACATTGGAAGAAAGACAACCGATGGCCAAAAGTTGTTTTTTCTTCAAGCAGGCATCCTCCAACTATGTTAGATTCCCGATCCAATAGTTCCCAGCCAGAAAGATTTGGAATGGGGAGTACCACAAAGCTAAAGGACCCCAGTTGAAAAAGCAGATTTGGGAGGAGAGGTCTGGGTGAACATCTGCAAGGTGGCATCCAGGCTTTGATTCCAAGTCTGTGAACATCCATCTTGCAGGTGTTGATGTCCTCAAACAGCCCAAACCACTACATAACCAGGTTAAGCATTAGTCCAGTGTTTCTCAAACTGGGCAACTTTAAGACTTCAATTCCCAGAATTCCCTAGCCTGTGCTTTTTAAGAAGGGTGGACTTCAGCTCCCAGAATTTCCCAGCCCGTACGCTTTACATGGAAGTTGGCCGGGGAATTTATTTATTTATGAGACTTATATACCACTTTAAGTGCAAGCACTCTCTAAGCGGTAGCAATGTATATATATATTTACATTGCCCCCAACAATCTAGGTCCTCATTTTACCTACCCCGGAAGGATGGAAGGCTGAATTCTGGGAATTGAAAGGCACCCCTTTTAAAGTTGCAAATTTGAGAAACGCTTGCCGTTTCTTTGATGCGACCGGTTAAAACGGGCAATTCTATATCAGCTTAGCATCTGCCACAACACATGGTTTAAAAGTATTTCAGATTTGGCCGTTTGCACCCTGCAGCGGTTTGGGCTTTTCTGGGTACTACGGCTCGTAAGAAATGGATGGAAAGAAAAGAATATTATATTATGGGGAAAGGAAGCCTTTTCTGCAAGAAACCTGCAGCGTTGCGTTCAGCAGATGGCAGATAGAAAAGACCTTTTCACAATACACAACCAGCCTGAAGCCCTTGCAAAGAAGGGGAGGGCTGGGAAAAAAAAAACCTGTAACAATTGTTCTTTCATTAGGAAGCTTCTAAAATATTTATACCCTGATAGTCACCGCGTGGACAGCGAGGAACACAAGACCACACAGCAGCCGGAGGAAACACACATACACTGTGAATGAACCACCGTAATTAGGAGCTCATTGCTTCACAGCAAACAAAGGACGCACACACGCACACACTAATGATAAAAATACAGGTCCCAGAAGCTCTTCGGATACCGGGGAACTCGGGATGAGGTTAAGGGGACGTCAAGACTTTTAGTAAACGACGTTGGAAGGACACCAAGGCGTATCCGGGTACAGCAAGCAATGGATGGAGCGAAACCTAGAAGATAAAAAGGGGGTTTGGGATTAATCCAAATCAGCACACAGGTTGTGATCTAAATTACAATGTCTTGGGGTGATAGGATTCTCTTTGAGAACTTCCGATGAACAAAGTCAATGGACCGGGTTATTCACTTAAGCAGCGCAGCGATTCACTTGTTTAGATGGTGTAAATTTCAGCTAATTCAGATGACAGACAGATATGATTCTTACCTGGAAGGATCTTCCTCCACGGAGAAAGCCCCCTTCATATGGATGGAATTCCTCTTGTTTTCAAACATCCCATAACTCAAAGTGACCTTGGGAAAAAGGGGGGGAAATGCAAGGTTGAGCTACAAGTGCAACAAAGAGATGCTTCTCTTTAAAACATATGAAGAACAGTTGCAGGAACTGGGTTTGTGTAGTCTAGTGAAAAGAAGGACAAGGGGTGACATGATAGCAGTGTTCCAGTAGCTCAGGGCTGCCACAAAGAAGAGGGAGTCAAGCTATTCTCCAAAGTGCCAGAAGGCAGGACAAGAAGCAACGGATGGAAACTGATCAAGGAGAGAAGCAACCTGGGATTAAGAAGGAATTTCCTGAGAACAATTAATCAGTGGACCAGCTTGCCTCTGGAAGTCAAGGGTGTTCCATCACTGGAGGTTTTCAAGAAGAGACTGGACAACTACTTATATGAAATGGGATAGGGTCTCTTGCTTGAGCAGGGGGTTGGACTAGAAGACCTCCAAAGTCCCTTCCAGCTCTGTTATTCCTTTAGCAACTCTCCCCAAGTGGCTGCCAAAATGGAGTTGTCCATCCCAAAATATCAATTCATCAGAACGTATATTTTGGGTGGGGGGAGATGGGGTCTCCTGGCCAACTTTGTAGCCTTCTTCCCAGGATGATTTCAGCGGGGGTCAGTTTGACCCAGATTTCCAACCTCTGATAACATCTGTATTTCTATGTTTTGTTTCTGGGCCTGGATGATTTAAATCCTGTAGCATTTTTACCTGCTTATGGATCTCTGATTTGGGCACTTGATGGAGGTTCTCAAGATGGGAGTGGAAGAGATTACTTCGGATCAGTTTCACCCCCAGGACAGATTCTATGATGTACCCAATGGTGCAATCGTCAGGGAGACGAATCTTTTCCGCCGTGCTCATGAAGTGCCCACCGCTGGAGAGAGGGAGGGAGGGAGGGACGAGAATTGAGGAGGAGGGAGAGAAAACGGGCAAGATTTTTCGTTATTCCATTTGCTCGCAATTTGAAAACACAAAAAGGATGAAAATCTAACATTAAAAGCCATAACATTTTTATTTGTGTAGGTGTAAGTGCAAACACAAGTCAATAATGTGGTTCTCCAAAGGAAGGGAATGTCAGGTGAGGGATTCATGTGTCATTTTCAACCATGATTTCAATAAGTCCCAACTGGGTTCCCAACAGGTTAAACGCAGAGCGTAGGGGAATTTGGAAAATTAAGGAGGCACAAAGCTCTAAAACCTTCGTGTCCCAGTAAGTGTCTTGTTTTATACTTTTAAGAAACGGCTTTCTGCATCAAAGATGCTAATAGCCCATAGACAACAGTGAGTTTGATCTGTAACCCATCACCTCCATTGAGATGTGTCAGGGGTGGCTGACGTGTGTATCTTGCTTTTTTTTTTTTTATCCTCCAGTTTCTCTATTGCAACAACTATACACTCAACAAAACAAAGTCTCTTACCTGGCCCAAGGGGTCATCTTCAGTGCCAGACCACGACTGATGCAGAAACCAGCACCACCAGTGGCAAACCAGAAGTGGACCGGATGCTGTGGGATGAAAAGAATCAAGAGATGAAGACTCAAGAAATTCTTCTTTGACACCGAAGAGTACATGGAGTCAAAGCGTTAGTCAACTTCCCAGAGACTAGTTGGGACCCAAGGAGAGAATCCCATCCAAGGTCTTCTCCAAGAAAGAGATGCCTCTTTGAAGCAGGAGAGTCCCTCAGAAGATGCACATGGACAACCTTGAATGTTGACCCTCAAGTCCCCTCATTCTCCTTGTTGGCTTACCATCTTGTTCTCACTGATTCTCTCAGTGGCCTGGATAGGCCTGTCCAGACTGGGTTTCCCAATGTAGATATCCTGTGTGTGAGCATAGCTGGAGAGCAGTTTGACCAGCATCCGGACATTCACATAATTATCATCGTCCACATGGCAAAACCACCTAATGCAAGGATGAAAACAAGACTGAGGTTAGGTCAGGAACCAGAGAATTCAAAGATGCTTGGATCTCTGATCTTTGATCCATTAGGAATCAAGAACTCTAGAATTTAAGCATTTTAATTGAACTTCAGTGGCAGGATCACCACATCCAGACCATATTCAAGAAGGACAATGGAGAAGAATTCACTCCTCCATTTAAGTGCCAATGTTGAACTTGCATGGATCAAGGAGATGTTCCACTTCTGAACTAATTTCCCTTCCAAAAGAAGGGAGTCCAGATCCTACAGCTTTACAAACCACAGCTTCAACTCTCCCTCCTCACCCAACCTCTTCTTTGCTCTTACTTTCGTCCAGATTCAATGAACTTGTCGTATTCCACCGACATCTTGCAGGACAAGGCTTGACGGCTGTGAGCAGCAGAACAATTGGTGTTGACAATGTTTCCTGAAGAGAGACAAGGAAAAATATTCAAGGTGAAGTTACTATAGCTGAATTCAAAAATCCATAACATGAGAAGGATCTTTATTAGGCCCAGCAAAGGGGATACTTTTCAAACATTTTGCATACTCTTTGAGGACATTATGGTGGTCCTCACAAAAGAGATGCCCAACTATGGATATTTTTCCTCTTATAGACCCATCTGGCTTATGATGTTTTCCATTATCCGACACCTATGGATACATCTTGAGCAGCTTAGGATATTGCTTAAGTTCTCAGCTAGAGGAATGATCCAGCTCTGTGACCAAGACAGTCATCCCTGCGTCAACAAAAAACAAAGTCCAGTTGCCTTTTGGAAAAAAAACACCTTTGGGACAACCATGACCTTGGATTATGGAGAATCTGCATGTCCTCATAGTAGCTAAAGCTTCAAGTAATTCCCTGAACATTTCCTCCACAAATGTGGACTAGGAGCCACCTTCTGCAGATGTTTAAATGTTAGCCAAGACAAACTCAGATATATTCTCCTCTCCTTCTTGTTGACCAAAGGGAGCTTCCTTTGTTCCCAGCTTTAACCCAGCCAAGTGTTAACTCAGAAAGGAAAATGTGGGAGGTGAAACAGCAAACTGGATCTTTCCAGTCCCCTTTTAACAGGGGGAGAAGTCCTTGTCCTGCTATTCAAGCCTGATTTTTCTCATCATTTGCCACCTGCTACTCCTTTGGCTGTCTGGAGAGGAATCCATTGAGGGCATGAATAGAGCCCATTAGCATCAGAAGAATAGGAGGGTCTGAACTAGCCTGGGAGGAGGAGAAGGAGGAGGGAGGGAGGGTCCCATTAAACACTCACTGAGTAAGTATCCACCTTCCCCCCTCCCTCGGGAAAGTTAATCACCACATTCCCTGGGAATCCCACCAGAAGGGTCTGTAAGAAGGGGGCATTTTCAACACCTGCCTAAGAGGAAATCCATCAACTCACCAATTCTCTGCTTGAGCTCTTTGTCTTCTCCATCCGTGAAGATGTAGGTCTAAAGAGGAAGAGAGAAAAAATATTTAGGAATGTGCTGCCTTCAGTCACGTCAAGCCAACAGTATTATTACGGTACCTATGGTGACAAATCTAGATTGCACATTCAAATCTCATGCAAACTGCAGCCATTGAGGGCGATTTGCATAAAGGCACACATGCCTGGGTTAAACATTCCGTTGCATAAATCATGATTTGAAGTTTAGAGCGGGATGCAAACCAGGCCTGTTTTTTTTTTTCTGGTAAACAGCCTAGTTGTTAAGCAAGCTCTTTGATGCACGTGTAAGAGTTTGCTGCATTTCAGGGAGATCTCAAGTTTTTTGCACAAGGCCCAGGAGAACTTTTGAAAACAAAGTGAAGATAAACCCAGCCTGGAGCAAAAGCTTCATTTGCATTGCAAAGAGGTTATTGATTAAAGATTTCAAAAGCCTGGGAAGGTCAGGTGAGAAACCGAGGTTGGGCTCACCTGTCCATCTGTTGCCTTTGAAATGTGGCATTGAGAATTTGCATTAATTGGGGGGATTCTGCACACCTGCTGTGGTCCTCGACCCCCCCCCCAACCCTCCCAAGGTCTGCCTGCTTCCACCTTCTGGGATCATCTAAGCTGCTGTGACCACCACCACAACTCAAGGTTGCCAACCTTGCCCTTCATCCTCCCCCACACCTGCCCCTCAGGCTCGACTGATAACTGGGTGGCAACACCAACCCTCCTGCCTGGAGGTGGTTCACCTCCAACGGCCACCTGAACATCAGCCAAGGCGGGGGAAGGCGCCCCACCCTGCCATCTCCAGCACCTGCCTGGCTGCACTTTCTTATTGACAGAGGGAGCGCCTGGCCTCAGCTGCCTGCTGGGGAGGCTGGCAGGGCTGGCAAGGAGGGTGATTGTTCAGGATCTGGTTGGGAGAGAAGAGAGGATGGTCGTGCCAAACCAAGACAGAGGGAGAGGGAGAGAGGAAGAGGAAGGAAGAAAGGAGAGGGAGGGAGGGAGAAAGAAAAGGAAAAAGGGAAGGAAGGAAGGAAGGAAGGAAGGAGAAAAAGAAAGGGAAGGAAGGAAGGAGAAAGAGAGAGAGAGAAAGAAAGAAAGAGGAAAGAGATGGAAATGAGAGGAAGGAAGGAAGGAAGAGAAAAAAAGAAAGAAAAGAAAAGATGGAAATGAGAGGAAGAAAGAAAGAAAGAAAGAAAGAAAGAAAGAAAGAAAGAAAGAAAGAAAGAAAGAAAGAAAGAAAAGTTTTTCTCTCTAACTTGGACCATGGGTTGTTCTCTGCCCCTCATTCCTGTCCCATTAAAAAAAGGGGGGAGGTCCGACAAGGAACCCAGGCAGACTTTGAACAATAGTCTCCCAGCCAACTTAACGCAAGAGGAAGGCTGAAACTTGCTCTCAATTAGCATACAGCTGGATTGGTTAACCAGAGGGAGGCCAGAGATGTTTGGGAAGGGTGTCTACAGCCAAAACTTGGTTTAATCGCAAAGACAGAGAGAAAAGAAACGGGAGATTCACAGAGCAGGAAAACAAAAAAGAGATTCCCTCCTCCTCTCCCCCCCCCATCCTGGCCCTTTGTAGAAGCCCCTCGGTGCCCTGCCAGATTTTGGCCCTGCGGATTCAGAGGTCAGCCCCCGCCCCCATGATTTATAATGTGTCTTTCCATTAAAAAAAAAAAAAGAAAATTGAAAAACCACATAAGTATGTGTAAGAAAAGCAACAAGAAAAGTTTATTGTCCTACAAACTGAGATAATCCTACTGCACCATCTTTAAATAAACCATAAAACGGTATTACGGTTTGCATGTTTTAAGAAACAACAAACTCAGCAAACTTGCACCAGGTGTCCAGAACAAATTTCTTCACCCCTCTTGCTGCAAACAGTTGCACACCATGCCAACTTATGTACCTCCGGCTGATCCCTGGCATCCTGCAGAAGAAGCAGCCTGGGTATCAAGAAAACAAAACTTTTTTTTGATAAAAAGGGTGCATGCGTGTCGATAAAGGCCTGGCTGATGCTGGGCTTTGTTCCATCTTTGCTTTTTGCCAGGTAGGTTAAGTCATGAAGAGTTAGGTTAAGGCCTTAGCAAGACGCTGGCCCCTGGCTACAAAAGTACAGAAGGCAACCAAGCTCCTTGGCTCCCCTTGCGGTCATCTGGAGTTTTGCATCTGAATCCGGCAGACCTACTCAATGGTTCAACTGTCTTCCCAGTTATTTCTGAGTTTTTCAAAGCAATGGGGCTTAAGGACAAGAGAGGAACAGGACTTCATTGGAATCGTGGCCGGCCTGCTAATAAGGAAAGGCCAGATTCTGCTGGAAACCCTTGTTAATGGGAATTTCATAAAAAAAAAAGGAAAGGGAGGGGGGGAAAACCATCATATTTACTAGATTAGATCAGGCCTGCCGTCGCTAGCAACTACGCACCCAAAAATAGTCTTTTGCTCATCTGCAGCCTGCTAAAAATAGCCCAAAGGGAGACCATTATATTTTTATTTGATTAATACCCAGGCTGCTTATCCAGAAGATGCCAAGAATCAAGCCAACGCCTCTTCTCGGAAGCAGGAGAAGCCCAGTCTTGGCGAGAGGTCTCCAGAAAACTGGGCCTCCCTCCCCAGAAACTATTATAAAGTTGTTGAAACTGCCCAGAAACTTCTCCTTTTGAGGATATGCATGATGGTGGTAATCTGGACTTGCCTCCAGACGTTGTGGGTGCTCCGTCACTGGAGGATTTTAAGAAGAGATTAGACAACCATTTGTCTGAAATGTGTAGGGTCTCCGGCTCGAGCAAGGGGTTGGACTAGAAGACCTCCAAGGTCCCTTCCAACTCTGCTATTCTGTTATTCTCCAGCTGTGTGCCATGGTGCTACATCAGAGTCAACCTTTGGTCAACAGGCCATCTGTCAGACACTCAAGACCAGACCCAGATGACGATTCAGCTAAACTGCTTTATTGCTAAAAGCCTTTGTACAGGAATCTTCTCGGCTAACCGTAGACACCTGCTTGGAATTAGATAGGCGTTAGCGGCACTCAAGGTGGCTGGACTTAGTTCGCTTGTGGCTACTTAGGGATTCTAGGCCGATTCCTCTTTTAACTCCGCCCCCAGCTCCCGCCACTCATTCTCCTACAACACCCATCTTCTGTACATCTTCTAACCCTGCTTGGAAGAGCAACGATGTCCCACCGAGCAGAAGAGAACCTCATCATCTTTTAAGCAAGGAGACTTTCTCCATGTGGGACATGCCGTCTCCCGCTCAGGTTTACTCTGTGCCAGAGATACAATCAGCCATGGCCGCTCTGCTTCCTTGTCTCTGCCAAAGGAGCTTTTTCAAACTAAAGGAGGGGGGGGGAAGATGGCTTCTTTCCCCTAGCTTGACGTTGGAGCCTGCATTGTCCAAGCATCCCAGCCTGGGGGATAGACAGGAAACCTCATTGTTTCTAAAGGCTACAGTTGAAAGAAACACAGGATGTGTGGACTCCTGGAGAACAATAGCCCAGTCCCATCAGAAAACAACCCAGCGGTTCTCACCAGGTCAGGATTTTGGGCATAGAGATCCAGGATCCCCCAGAACAGACCTTGAGACGGTTCTTCAGTTAGTGAGGCCCCATCGGTCATGCCCGTTCTTCTCCCTCTGCCCTAATTTCCCCGTGCTTTCGTGACTCACTTCCCTTTCCTGTCCAAGCTACAAGCCGTAAATTGAAAGTTCCTCCAAGTTGCCGGTTGGGGCATCCTAGCAAGAGCCAACCTCTTGGGTCCTGAGAGAGAGGCCTCCCCACCTTTCCTGCCGATGACCTTGGCAGAAACATGGCTGGAAAAGGCTTGAAGGCCAAGACTGTCTGCTTGCCTTGGCATCAAACACAACACCCCCCACAAAAATGCATAGATCTCCTCCTGTTGACCTTTGCACCAACAGCAATCTGACTTTAAGGAACTGTAATAAATGTTGATAAAGCAATTAACCTCTGGACCTTTTTCTTCTGCAGAACTTGCTTTGCCCAATGCTGGTCTTCTTGGAAAACTGGGGCCGGAAACCTCATATTTAGCAAGTTCCCATTTTCTCCTGTTTGTTAACCTTGTTTGTTTGTTTGTTTGTTTTAACCTTGGTTATTCTCCTCCATCTGCGGTCCACCAGAGGCCCTGGTTTATGACCTTCATTGGATCTGCTCAACTCAAGGAGACATCTGCCTCTCTCTTAAGGGCTGCTGGGATTACAGGAAAGAAATAATTTGGGGTCTATTTGCAAGAATAGAGAAACCCAGCAGAAACGGGCAAAAGGGAGAAATAGCAGTTCTGTCCATTTCACATTTATCTACAAGAAGAAAATATCACCTCACCAAGGGCTTAACCATCTCAAATTCTGTTGTAGTCCTTCCCCCAAAAATGAAAGAGCAAGGGAAAAAAAATCCTGGAATATTTTGGATAGTTAATCTGGCCTGGGCAATTTTCATGTCTTTTGCATCTTTCGTTCATCTGAGGAGCTTCAGCCAGCCAATACAGAGAAAGGAATATCTCTTTTTCACAATTATTAACACCTCTGTTAAGCCACCTGCTTTTGGCATCGACAGCACAGTTTACAATTTGTATCAGAAGTATTAAACTTCCTGGCCAAGAAAGTCAAATTCTGACCTTTAAGGGCGCCCAGCCAAATAGGCAAAGAGGCAGCGAGGGTGTGCAAAACCTCTCCTGGTGTGTACCACAAATGTGCTCAGGTTTGCATGCTAGCTGTCAGATCCCCCAATTACTCTGGGAGGACTAGAAGAATGGGAGATTCCCTTCTCACAACAGCTGCTGCTGTTGCTGCTGCTGACAAAAACTTGGGTCTTTGCATAAAATCTGAGCAGATGCTTCCAGACTCCTCCTGAGTTGTGTAATGGTCCACTTCACAACCGCACGGCTTCAAGATGAATTTCCCAGTCCCTAATGCGGTCGTTAAGGGCTACCTGGGCAATTCCGATGTCCACACACCTGTAAAGGCACGGCTTGCTGCTGCAAGTTCTTTTTGAGGGGAAAGCACTGGAAACTAG